AGTTCGAAACCAGCCTGGCCAACATGGTGAAACCCCATCTCTACTAAAAATCCAAAAAAAAATTAGCCGGGTGTGGTGGTGCACATAATCCCAGCTACTCAGGAGGATGAGGCACAAGAATCACTTGAATCCAGGAGGCAGAGGCTGCAGTGAGATGAGATTGTGCCATTGCACTCCAGCCTAGGCTGTGACTGAGCGAGACCCTGTCTCAAAAAAAAAAAAAATTAATTAAAAAAGTTTTAACCGTGACCTCCCAATCCCTGCATGATTTAGCCCCTGCTAACCCCTTGGGCCACATCTCATGCCAGCCTGTGTGCACTATATAGCCCCCTCTGGCACAACATCTGGCACATAGAAAGCAACTGTTTTTATTGAATGAAATAAACAAACATACATTCTCATTTATTCTTCACAGCACCCTTTGAGGTAGGATATAATGTATCCAATTTATCAATGAAACATAAGACAGGCTGGAAAGAGCTTGAGGCTGGAGAAGGCTTATTTTCTAGTCTGTACAGAGCCAAAACTGAAGTATGCTTGTATGAGGGAGTCCCAGGACACTTCTATAACAGTTAATTTTATGTGTCAGCTTGGCTGGGCTATGGGATGCTCAGGTATTTGGCTAAACATTATTTTGGGGTGCAACTGTGAAGGTGTTTCTGGATGAGATCAGCATTTGAATCAGTAGACTGAAGAAGACTGCCCTCCCCAATGTGGGCGGAACTCATGCAATCCATTAAAGGCCTGACTAGAATAAAAGGCTAACAAAGAATTTCTCATTGCCTGACTGTCCTGGAGTCGGGACATCGGTCTTCTCCTGACTTTGGACTCAGACTCAGAATGGAACTTACACAAATGGCTCTCCTGGTTCTCAGGCCCTCTCAGACTAAAGCTTACACCATCAGTACTTCTGGTTTTCAGGCTTCTGGACTCAGACTTGAACTACACCATCAACTCTCTTGATTGTCCCGCTTGCTGACCAGAGTGCAGGCTTTTCAGTCTCCATAATCATGTGAGTCAATTCTTATAGTAAATCAACCTCAATATCTCCTCCCCCATCACTGGTTCTTGCTCTGGAGAATATTCTATTCTTTCTCAATAACCCAGACTCATTCAACCACTCAGGTTTGATAATTCACTAGGATGACTCACAGGACCAAGCACGTAGTTGTTGTACTTACATGGTTTATTAAAGTGAAAGGATACAAAGCTGACTCAACAAAGGCAAAAGGAGGATGGGGCAAAGTCCAGAAGAAACCAGGCAGAAGCTTGCAAGAATTCTTCTATCAGTGAAGATACACAGGATGCAGTTAATTCCTCCAGCAATGAGTTGTAACATGTGTGAAATGTTGCAAATCCAGAAAGCTTAGTAGAGACTCAGTGCCCAAGGGGGCTGGTCACGTAAGAACCCTCTGCCTAGCACATATCAAAATTCCAGGCTCCCAAAAAGAAAGCAAACGTTCAGCATAAAAATTGTATTGTTTACATACTTTAGGCACAATGATTCACTATTATCATTTAAGGAATGGTAGGAACCCCCCTGAAATCTAAGTTCCCAGTTGCCAGCCAGAGGCCAACCATGTAAACAGGCCTTTCAAAGAATAGGAATCTCAGGCCAGTGATGTTTCAAAGAATAGGAATCTCTTGCCAGTAACTCTTTTCTGCACAAGAATTGAATGAGGGCAAGGAGAGAGTCAACTGAAAATAAAATATCTTAATTCTAGTTGGTAATGCTTAGTAAAGTCTAAATCCAAAAGTGTTAAAGATTATTCCTGGGCTGGCTATATTTGACAGTGGGATGAGAGTAATCATGATGATTACCTTGGGTGATGATTGCAAAATCATGCTGCATTCTTGCTGAATAGCTTTAGGGCCAAGAGTTAAAAGGTTAGAAGTTAAGGGAATTGTTTATGTTTCCTTAAAGACCCTATAAGCTTTATTAAGTCAATCAGGTACAGCTGCCAAAATGTTAACTAATATCCCAAAGGTGGCTTAAGAATTCTTTGTTCTTGCTATTAGGCCTCATTTGACTAACGAAAATTATTTTTCATGAACCAAGTACCAATAGTAGGTCCAATGTGTAGTCATCTTACATGATATATTGTTAATCCTCACAACAACCTTGCAAAATATTAGATACACTTTAGAGTTTTAGAAACAGACTCAAAGAGTCTACGGGCTTAAAAAATGACAAAATTGAGATTATCACCAAGCCTGCAGATTTCTGTTAATGTGCCTTCGTGAAACATGTTTGAAGGAGTTACTCTCTGATTACTTTGCTGCCCTCTTGGCCTCTATGAATGACTTCCTGTTCTGCTGCATTTCAAATCTGACCCCAGGCATTAGCATCAGAGTTCTCTATCAAATAAAACCTGTTATAAGATAAAGATGAATAGGAATATATATGTGTGTACACATATATATTCCTATTCATCTATATGTGTATATATTCTTGTATGTGTACATATTCCTATATGTATATATGTATGTGTATATATATTCCTCTGTGTGTGTGAGAAAAATATATATAAAGTCTTGCCTCATTTCATCCTGTGATTAGAATTATAGGTAGCTGGCCCATTATGGTGGCTAAACCTGTAAGCCCAATACTTTGGGAGGTCAAGATAGGAGGATCACTTGAGCCCAGGAGATCGCAAACAGCCTGGGTAAAAGGATGAAACCCCCATCTCTACAACAACAACAAAAAATTTTAATTAGCTGAGCATGGTGGCGCATGCCTGTAGTCCCAGCTACTCAGGAGGCTGAGGTGGGAGGATTGCTTGAACTGGGGAGGTCAAGGCTGCAGTAAGCCATGATTATGCCACTGCACTCCAGCCTGGGCAATAGAGCAGACCCTGTCTCAATAAAAAAAGAAACCATAGATAGCCCTGCTTTAAAAGAGCAACAAGCGGGCCACCAAATAAATAAATAAATAAATAAATCAGTCTTGTTTACTAAAAAATGTTTTCAGGCCAGCCACAGTGGCTTATGTCTGTAATCCTAGCACTTTGGGAGGCTAAGGCAGGCAGATTGCCTGAGCTCAGGAGTTCAAGACCAGCCTGGGCAACACGGTGAAACCCCATCTCTACTAAAATACAAAAAATTAGCCGGGCGTGGTGGTGTGCACCTGTAGTCCCAGCTACTTGGGAGACTGAGGCAGGAGAATCGCTTGAACACGGGAGGCAGAGGTTGCAGTGAGCCGAAATTGCACCACTGCACTCCAGCCTGGGCAACAGAGT